AGAGAGAGAGAGAGAGAGAGAGAGAGAGAGAGAGAGAGAGAGAGAGAGAGAGAGAGAGAGAGAGAGAGAGGTAGGTGATTACAGTGGAATGTGGAGTGAAGGTGGCAGTAAGGTTTGAGTGTGATCTATGCTAGATTCCACATCAGCTGTGAAAAGAAACTCTAGACTGTGATGCTGGAGCATTGTATGATACGTAACGATGATTACCTGGGCTTGTAAAGTTGGTATCTGTACAAAATTTTGCTTGTGAAGACTAACCTGTATAATGTAATTGACGGTTTCATTACAATTCCAGCGTGCGAATTCACCATCATGATGACAAACTTTTGTGTTGGTAACCTGATAAATTGATAATATGATATTAATATCTACAAATGTAGTATGTACTTGCGTTCTTGATTACGTCAGGGATAGGTCCTTCCATTGTAGTATTGATTTTCGACTTTCCGTTACATTCGTGCTGAATAGAATTTGACTTGTAGATTAGGGTTAGGCTGTAAAGAGACCGTCTCAGTTGGTACACCCATGAACTGTTGAAATAGAGACCTGAGATCGAATCCAGATGCAGCGGGATGAGCAGAGAATAATATAGTTCTGAATTACCTAGGCCGATTCCCCTTTTTTTTCCGGAAAAAAGGGCCCCTTTTCTTTTTGGGAAAAAAAGGGGCTTAGGCTGTGAAGAGACGGGCTTATAACTTATAAGTTCATCAAAATGGCAGGGATAGGATAAACCCTGCCATTGTAGTATCAGTTTTTGTCATTTAAGGTTTTTGCTTATTGACTACAAACAAGCTGGAAAGTTGGGACACCCATCAACTGTTGAAATACAGACCTGAGTTGGAATCCCGGTGCAAAGCTGGAGACCCAGGGATAAGCCCTGCCATTGTAGCAACAGTTTTTTGTTATGCGAAGGTTTTGCGTATTAACTACAAACAAGCTGGAAAGTTGGTACACCCGTGAACGTGAACCGTTGGAAAACTTGAAATACAGACTCAAGCTCCACTCCAGGTGTCAAGCTGGAGACCGTGGCAGGGAGCGGCAGGAGGTATTTTTTTATTGGGCTTCAAGGGCTTGTCAACGAGCTGTGCGCGGGCCCCACTGCTGCAGAGTATGTATGGATTCACCGTACCATTATTAACGATGTGGGTGGCCAATTTTCTAGACAAGGGCTTTTTACCAAATGTCACACCGAAACATTACAGCTCTCATCACCTTTTGCATAGAAGGATAAATCCGTAAATTACTAAATTAGTAAATTGGCTTATAACTTGTGTGACATTACAGCTCATCAACTTAAAGTTTTGCATATAAGCCTTAGGGTAAATTCGTAAACTGGCATATAACTTAAAAGTGGCATTACATCTCATCAGAATTTGCGTACAAGGATAAATCCGTAAACTGGCCTCTAACTTGATATAAGGATAAATCCGTCGACTGGCATATAAGGATATGTCCGTCAACTGGCATTGACATGATTCCTTTGACGAAAGCATGACATTGTCCGTTTCGGCTCTGTCGCGCACGGAACGACATGGGGCAAGTTCCCACTAGCACCTCTGCGCCTCTTTTTGCGGAGGCAAGTTCCCTCTGGTTTGGCAAGCTTTGTCGGTACGCCAGCGCGACGGTTGTTTTTTCTTTCGCCAGGCACGGCCAGCTCCATTTTGGTCCAGTAGTCCCACGCGGAGGACATGTTCGGATTGGCTTCATTTCGATTCTCAAGTTTTCGCCTCGGCGAGGTACCGGTGGTTAAGCCTGACAACCATCTGATCGGCGAGCATGTACCATAGGGTTCGAAAACACTATTTTCTTCACACGAATACAACGCCCGGTCGTAATAGCTGTATTTAGGGCACCTTAAAGTCTAGATACAGTGATAATGACTGGGCGTTCTATTCGGGTGAAGACGGTAGTTATCATTGGCTTTGACAGGTATGTAAAAGTCTACCATATATCAACAGGGTGTGTTTGTCAGGCTCTCGCAGGATTGAGGTGTTTGATTGGCATGTAGCTGTGGGGGGCTGGCGAGGGGTCAGGTGGGATTAGCAGTCTTTGCGTACTTGTGGAATGACCTGAAGTGATGAGAAGGTGGTTGTTTATGGTTTATGGTTTATGGTTTAGGGTTTATGGTTTAGGGTTTAGGGTTTAGGGTATATTGTGCTCATGTACTTCGCACGGGGTGTTCTTATACTTGTGTAATGTAGACTGGCTTTGGACAGTAATCGCATCATCGGATTGCACTTTCGAAGGACTCGCTCTTGCTGTAGACTGTTCTTCCGATGAATAATCGGTGGCTACCAACTGCGTACCATAGTAGCTACACTGCCCTAACGACGTACTGGGAGAGGATTGTTGTTTCAATGAATAATTTAGAAATTAGAAATATTTAGTATTGTTTGCCCCATTTCTATCTTCCCCTTGGATTCTCAGGCTCGATTTATAAATGAAATATGAAAATATAAGTTGGCATTGGTTTTCATCATCAACACTGTAGTGGCTGTCTCTTATACACATCTAGATGTGTATAAGAGACAGGTATTGTAATTGCCTTCCACCCTCAGCAATCCCCAGATCTCTATCCCAGGCCTCGAGCTCCTATGAAGGTTAGAGGGCGATACCCCAGCGTCGGCCAGCGTCGTTCTGGTTTCTACTCGACCTGGGCAAGAACACAATAAAAGCTCAAAAAGGAGAACAGTTAGACTTAGAATGTAACCTAATCCCGCGGCCTAGCTCAGTTGGTTAGGCATGCAAGTGGCATTCAGGAGGTTGTGGGTTCAAGCCCCATGGCCGCCTGCGGCGCACTTAGTGCCAACGGACTGTGATAGTCCTCTGGATACCCCTGATCGGTATTAGCGGGGTCTATGACCAACACGGGTGTAAGTGTGAGCGCGAGTGGGTTGTGTGTGGTGTGTGGGAGAGTGTTGGCCATAGCCTCTGCTGCTACTCGATGAAGGGTGGGGGACGATGAGAAAGGGAGGCACAGCTACTGGCAGGTCTTGGTCTTTGTGTTAGCCAGACCCCCTCTGGCGGCCCCAACCCTATACCCTAACCATTAGGGGCAAGGGGCAACATGAAATCTCCCCTTCACAGAGAGAGGAAAACTATGCTTGCAGGGGTCCCCTCTAGATAGTCTCAGGAGTAGGTAGTGGAAGGCAAACAAACAGAAGTTGAGAGAAGAGTATAGAAAAAAAAAAAAAAAAAAAAAAGATTAGAATGTAACCTAAGAACTCGGATCTGGTAATAGTGGGATCCTGAGCAAACAACCAATCTGATGATGATGATGATGATTTTGATGATGATGGTGATGATGATGATACTTGACATTGATTGACCCTCCCCTGTCCACCCCTCCTCTTCTCCCCTCTTACCACCCCTCTTCTCCCTTGCAGCCTCCGCCAATCAGGACCACTCTGTTGTCGAGTGGTTCCTCACAGCCCCAGCAATAGGAAAGCCTCGCTCTACCCAACTCCCCTCAAAGAAGGTTGTTCCCCCAAAAAGCCTTCCTCAAGCTATCTCTGTCCTACTCTGCCACCGCTAGTAGAGATGTTCCTCCTTCCATCTCTCCCAGCCCCAGAGTTAGACTGTCTTCCTTGTCCGCCCTTATTTCCTATAGGCAAACATTTCCCACCTTGTGTTTCCCCTGCAGAAAAGAGCTCTCCCTACGCAATCCATCCTGCCCTCCAAGTCAGCAACCTTGGGGGGAGGATTTTCACAACCTGAAGTATAGAAAAAGAAGACCTTTTTGCAGTGCTTCGCGCCTTTGAAAGTGTGCCTGGCTGCGTGTGTTAGAAAAATGTTCATTTTATTCATGGGAAAATTGTTGAAATACCTAGGCTGTTTTTCCGGGTGCCCGGGCACCCAACTTATGCCCGGGTACACGCCCGGGTGTCCGGCCGGGCATGACCCCCGGGCAGGGTTCCGGGCAGCCCCAGAGCCGAAAAATGAAAAAAAATCAAAAATCAAAAAATTTTGAAAAAAAAAAAAAATCGTGTAGATTTGCTGTAGAATTGCAATACAAACGACTTTTGGCTGAGGGTCACATTAAAATTCTTCACAGAATCGGAGATAACAAAGAAAATAACAGAATCACACTAAGGCACCCCCTTTTAAACCCCTTTAGCCCCTTTCAAACCAATTTATACCCCTCTCACCCCCCATTGACAGCCAATTCGCAAAAACAGAAATGAGCCCGGATTTGGGGTCGTCTAGGAGAGTGCAGAAAACCAAAAAAAAAAAAAAAAAAAAAAAAAAAAAAAAAAAAAGATTTGCATGCCCCCCCCGGGCGTCACGCCCGGGTGCCTGGCCGGGCAGGACCAGCCGGGCGTGAGAATCTTCCTAGTGAAATACCCCTAAAATTTGGGGTATTTTGCTTTGCTAGATACCCCTAAAAAACGAAGGGTTACGCCGAAATATCCCAAACTTCTGCATCTCCCCCTGTCCCGTTGATCAACAACTTCGCCATATGCCCATGGAAGGGCCCCCGCATTTCTTTTGCCATCTGGAGGGTCCAAAGGACAGAAATACCTGGGAACATAGACAAGTTGTCAAGGACCCAGTAGAGGTATATACAAAGACTAACAGGTCCAATTGGCAAGCGGGGTTTTTCGCAAGTTTCATGATTGTCATAGGGGCATTTCGCCGTACGTATGCCTTTTAGGCGAAATTAGGCGTATCCGATAAAATACGGCAACTTTCAGGGGCATTTCACACAATTTTCCCTTTATTCAGCTGGTTTCATCGGTGTTTGAACTCAGGTCTGTGTTTCATCGTTGTTTGGGTAAGTATACAAGTTAACCCCCTGTGTCCTTGTTCGGCGCTTTGGTGCTGGCAGCTGCGGACAAGGAGGTGGTGAACATTATCAGCGAGCGCAAAATACTCCGGCATCAATGCATGGTAGACAGGGGGTGTGATTTTTGGCAATTTTTTCACTGAAACGGTCATCTTGGCCGTTTTGTTTGTTTTTTCTGATTTTTTTGTTTCACGTGGAAGTTTTTCAGTATGTTGTTGTGGGAATGCAGTGGAAAGAACAAATTTTTGGCCATCGGTTAACCACCTCTCAAGCATGTCCATGCGTGAATAACACAATAGACTTCACAAAAAAAGAATGAAATACACACACCGCCACGGGAAAAAAAAAAAAAAAAAGAAAGAGAATCAATGTCCAAACATTTCTTTGCCAAAATTAAGGTAAACGACAGGTCTAGTTCTATCGAAGCTCTTAAAGAACTCACAGGTGATGAACCAGCAAGAGCAGACAGTGACCAGCTACTACGAATTGCAAGACTTCTATCAAGAGTTGTACCATACCAAGAACACCTTCCATACCCCTCCAAGCGTTAGAGAGGCAAGAACAAAATGCTCACCCACTTAGGGCGTCGTTCGACACTCCTCGGGGACGTCTTCGTTCCACCTGTCCTCGGAGATGAAATGGGAAATGAAAATGTGAAAGCACTCCGAGGACAAATCCTTGGGCTGTGAGGATTTCCCAGCCAAATCGTCCTCGGCTCCAAAGGACCTCGTGAGGTCCTTTGGGGCCCGAGGATCCGTGTTTCACGGAGAGGAGAGGGCATGNACTAAGGGCGTCGTTAAACACTCCTCAGGGACGAGATTCCAAGGATTTCGTCTTCGTTCCACCTGTCCTCGGAGATGAAATTCTAAATGAAAATGTGGAAACACTCCGAGGACAAATCCTTGGGCTCCGAGGATTTCCCAGCCAAATCGTCCTCGGCTCCAAAGGACCTCGTGAGGTCCTTTGGGGCCCGAGGATCCGTGTTTCACGGAGAGGAGAGGGCATGCCCGTAGAGAGACGTTACAACCAAGAATTCGGATCGTGGCGGCACTCTATTGGCTGAAAGCCTGAAGCACAATTTTTTTTCTTTTTTTTCCTTTTATTTGTCTGACATTGCTCCGAGGATGAGTGGAACAAAGACGACAAAAACCCTAAACTTTTTCGAGGATTCATCCTCGGAGCCCGAGGACGCCCCGAGGAGTGTCGAACGACGCCATTAGACAGAACACTAAAGGGCATACCCACACTAGGCCCTTATAACAACAAAATTGCAAAATCAGTGGCCAGATCGCATCCTTATGAAAGGAGGACTGAATCTGGCCACTAAATTTGTGATTCTGTGATTTTAAGGGCCTCGTGTGAGTATACTCTAACCCAGAACAAGCAAAGAAACTAGATGAACCGCTCGCACTGGAAGAACTAAAAGCCGCAGTACACAATAGAACAACGATAAGACTCCAGGAATCGATGGGCTGACCAAGGAATTAAGAGAGAATTTTTAGCCACTCCTGGGAAACGGCTGTCTCAACTTTTAGCAAGACAGCAGGGATAAGGGTGGTTTGGGGGCTTTCCTCAGGAGCAGTGTAGTAATTCTGCTCTATAAAAAGGGGGATAGAGAAGACATCAGTAACTATAGGTCTGTTTCTATGTTGACACTATCGTACAAAATTTTGGCTAAAGCACTGGCGTGCCAAATTTTGGACCTCATTGACAAATGTTTCCATATTGACCAGGCTGGCTTCGTTCTAGGAAGATACATCCTAGATAATGTCCTCACCCTGAGTGAGGCGACTAAGAAAGCTAAAGAAAAAAAAATTAAGGATGCCATCATGTTTTTCGGCTTTCAGACGGGCTACGACCACATCAACTGGGCGTTCCTAAATGCAAGTATGGAGAAAGTGGGGGTAGGCCCTAAGGGTCTCGTTAGACCTTCTTAAGAATGTCGGTTCCTAGGAATGCAGTGTGGTTACACACATTTTTAAAAATGAATTCATGAAAGAAAATGTGAAAACAACAGTAGTTCAATTTCAGATTTATGCAATTCTTAAATATGAACAAGAATCGTTGAAATCAATTGATCCAAGTTTGCTTTTTGCTATTGCACAACAAAAGACAATCATTGAACAAATCGATAGTCAACTGACCAACTTTTGTCAAAAAATTACTCTCGAGTGTCTTAGCAACTCACTCAGGTTAATTCACAATTTTTCTATATTTATCTCAACAAGCAACAATAGAGGAAACAAAGCATACCATAAAAACACATTCATAGAGGCTTGAAGTGCAGATGTGAAGCGTCTGCACTTCGTGTCCAGCATGTCTTGCTGCACTTCGTGCCTTGAGTTGTGATCCAATCCCCCTAGCGCTTATATGAGAAGAGCGGTCGTTTTCATACCTTGCAGCCCTTCGGCCTTGTGCAATTGGGGAAGCACGCGAATGCACGCTGGCCTTCGCCCCTCTGCCTGCTATTGGTCAAAATCAGCAAGGCCTTAGTCGGAGTGGTGAAATACTACATGGGGGCAGATCAACTATCGTAAATAATGTACATCTTCTTGAGTATGACATAAAATAAGAAGGCTGTAGTAATTCA